GATGAGAGACGAAACGTTTCTAGATTTTTTTTGCTTTGTTTGCTTTTGTTTTTTTTTTGAATGTCCAGAGGACCAGATTGAACTTTTTTGGACTGATTCAATATGCACACTATTGTTTTCTAATTCTTTACCTTTTTTTTATACGCTTGTCGAAAGGTGGACATTTTACGGACTAGTCTCCATCCATACGTTCATAAACTTTCTCATCTCGCCCATAACTTCTGATCCGCTCATGATAATTTAACCAAACTTCGTACTACGTCATATGCATCATCACTGGATGGAGTGACTTGTACACTTTTCATCCCTCCAGCTCCAAGGTCAAGGTCACAAATCAAGGTCAACATGTAGTTTCTGGTTCATTGATATGTTTAGAACCATTGAGTCAGAGGGTTATTCACAAAGACTGAGCCTGTTAGTTATTCTCCTTGATGACCTGAACGGTTCACCTCTACGATTTTATGCAGCATTGACAGCATATAGTTTTGTTGGTGTAAATAATTCAACTCTGTGGAACTGCTTTGGTTTGGTTTGAAGTAATAAAACCCAGTGAAATGATGATTATTTTTATAATACACTTAGTTTGGTTCTATGTTTTTGGGCTGTTCCTTGACATTTGGTTTTGTTCTGTTAATAGACCCAGTCATCAATGAACCAGTAGAGGTCTGTCCTGCATCACTTTGTAGCAGAACCAGCTTTTAGCTGCAGAAAAGATTAAATCACTTTTCCCTAACACACATTCCACATTACATTTACCTTGTGGTTTACTGTATTGTTTTATGACTTGGAAAGCATTTTGTTTTACCAAGCTTGTCATGCTTCTTTGCATAAAATAGATCTTCAGCACGGTATAAGGAACAGATTAAGATTGGAAACTGCATATTTCAGTGGCAGGACAGTACAGTGAAGGTTACTGTGTTACTCTTAAAACAGCTGTGTTCCTTGACAAAGTCTGATGATTTCATTTCATGTTCATTTGGAACAGAATATTCATGTCTGTTAAATGTCCAGCTCTGAGTGGAGATCAGACAGCAGCTAGAAGGAGCAGCTGCAGGTACTAAAATAACTCCTGATGCAAATATTGAAACAAAGTCTAACAAGCGCTACACTTGTCATTTGAGGAAGACATGCTTTCTAGTTTTTATATTGCAGTGTTTCCCCTACCATTATACAAGCAGGGTGCCCTGCCAACTGAACCAACCCCACCCCCAACACACATTGCCTCCGATGTGTGTCCCATCGGAGTATGAATGTGATAAAGCTCTGATTAGTCTCTTTAGAATGATTTGTTCAGTTATCTTTGTAGAGATCTAGTAGAGTGCTGTATGAATGGGTAAATGAGGCACAGATTGTTGTAAAGAGCTTTGAGTGTCTTGATAAAATAGAAAGGTGATACCATAAGTACAGTTCATTTACCATTTACCTTGCCAAGGCAAGGAAACTAGGGGAAACACTGTATTGCTTAAAAGTATAGTTTCCTCAAATGATTGGGGTGGCCGAAGGTTAATCTGTGGTGGCTAAGGCAACCCCCTGACTCTGCCACTGTGCGTGGTTGTGTATTAAATTGCTCCCTCCACCACCAGGATCCATCTCTCTGCGCTGCCTCAGACAGACAAAAATAAAATAAAAAACCTGCATAGTCTAACTCCTACCCACTGCAATATTCATCCATCCATTTTCTTTACCCGCTTTTTCCAATTTGGGTCACGGGGGTCGCCGGTGCCCATGTCCAGCATTCACTGTGCGAGGGGCGGGGTCGCAAGTTCATCACAGGGCCACATAGAGACAAACGAGACAAACAACCATTCACTCTCTCACTCACACCTAGGGACAATTTAGAGTTACCAATCAGCCTAACATGCATGTTTTTGGTCTTTGGGAGGAAACCGGAGTACCCGGAGAAAACCCACGCATGCACGGAGAGAATATGCAAACTCCACCCAGAAAGGCCCCTGGACTGGGGTTTGAACCAAGGACCTGCTCGCTGAGAGGCAGCAGCTCTACCAGTTGCGCCACCGTGCTGCCCCACTGGACTATGTTGCACCAAAAACATTAAGGCTTACTGGCATTCCCTGCTCAACTCCAGTCCAGAAAAAGACTCATCAAAAACAATACAAACATTCACTAATGAATGCCCTCAGTGACGGGAGACATGGGGGCTTGTTAGTCCTGATCTGGACATGTCTGCATGTTGGGCCTCTGCCAGGCGTCAGCCTCTTGCTTGGCTGTGGGCCCTACAGGAACATAATGTCAGTGTCCTTTCATTCCTCCTCCCAGACTCTTACCCATACGTGTCATCGTTGGTCTGTGCCTTCTTCATGTGTCTGACTCCTCTGTGGATTATCATCTCCTCCAAACACCCAGCCAGCCGCACGCTGCTCTACTCCGGATGGGAGCCCGTCATCACAGCCATGGTCATTAGCAGGTGTGTGTTCAGTCTTGGAAAGGGAAAGAACAGTTCTTCTGTCAGTTCTTGTAGTGTCTGGTTTGTTTAATGACTCAGCCTTTGAAAACAGCTGTAGCACATCCATCCTCTGCTCTCTTCTGCCCAGCTGTGTTCAGTCACTGGAACAGGATTTATTAGTCTGTTATTCTTGTTGTAGCTGCAGCTTGTCCACAGTCAGGCGCATGATTAAACTTCCCTTTCAGACTCTGAAATATTGACTCAGTATATACAAGTTGTGGTGCCAGATATGATTAGCTGAAAGTGACAGAAGACAAAACTTTATCACTTATATGATTTTATCAGAAAATGTCACGAGGTAGACAGATGTACTGTTTACATTCCAGACAAAATGCAGGTCAGGTGATGCTCTGTTGCCTTTTTGTTATATTTGACATTTAATAACTGCTTGTTGTGTCTTTAGCATTGGAGGGCTCATCCTGGACAAAACTGTCTCTGACCCAAACCTAGCTGGAATTGTAGTATACACTCCAGTTATCAATGGTGAGTAATAATAATAATAATACTTTATTTGTATAGCACCTTTCAAACAAATGTTACAAAGTGTTTCACATTAATCTATTAAAACATCATAAATGACGTCAGAAACACAAAAGTATACCAAATCAATTAAAATAGATAACAACATAAGAAAGAAAAAAAAAGAAATTCAGATATTAAAAGCCTTATTAAACAAGTAAGTTTTAAATAATGATTTAAAAGAAGACAATGAAGAGGCCTGTCTAATATTTAAAAGAAGAGCATTCCACACATTAGGAGCCCCAACCATAAACGCCCTCCCTCCTTCTGTCACCAGTCGAGCTCTGGGAGTGGAAAGTAATAACAGATTTAAGAATCTGAGATTACAAGAAGGGATGTAGGGGGTAAGAAGCTCAGATAGATATGATGGTGCAAGATCATTCAGGGATTTAAAAACAAACAATAAAATTTTAAAGTCAATTCTAAAAAGCACAGGGAGCCAATTCAATGAGGACAGAACTGGAGTGATGTGCTGATATTTATGGGATCTTGTGAGAACTCTAGCTGCAGTGTTTCGTTGAAGACGATTAAGAGAACTTTGGGACAGACCAGAAAATAAAGAGTTACAATAATCAAGATGACAGGAGACAAAGGAATGAATAAGAGTTGCTGCATCAGTTAAATAGATAAATTTTGGCAATATTCTTAATTTGAAAAGTATTGACTGTTTCTTTTAGTTTGCATTAATTTAAAGGCTCAGTGCACAGCATGTACAGTGTATAATCTGTATTGGTGTTTCAAGCAGTAAGAAGCATGCATGAACTGAATATGACGTCTGCAACGATGTGTGGCACTGATGTTTTCCACAAACAATGCCTGCACGCCGTTTAAACTGGAAGTTAGTTGGAACAGAGAAACTCTTGTCTTATTTATCTTTCTCAGTTTTTTTAATTAGTGCAGTCCCTGGGAGTAGACAAACTGTTTATTCACAACATGAATAGGAACTGTTTGTTTTGTGCGTGGCGCTTCCACAAATGAATGATGGTAAAATGAGTCAAATCACATCTGCTCAACAAACAGATCGACAAAAGTTACACAAAACATTACTCCAAATACTCATCTGTATGAAAAACATTATTATTATTATTATTATTTCTTCTTTCTTCTTCTTCATATGAATGACTTTGCTGATGACTATCTGAAACAGCTGCCTGAATCTGACAACAATGTGTCATGGTGACCGTTGTTACTACCCACACTAACGCTGTATTTTCCATTCAAGTCATGAAGCACACAACTCTCTGCTCTCTGCAGGTATTGGTGGAAACCTGGTGGCCATTCAGTCCAGCAGGATATCCACCTACTTACATTTCCACTGTGCTCCTGGAGAGGTTCCTGAAGAGGCCAAGGGCTGCTATTACCCCTGCCGCACATTCTGTGGCACAGGTTAGTCCTCACAACACCTGCTAAGGTGACATTTTAATCAGGCTTTAATTTAAAAGTTTGAAGTCAGTGTCTTTCAGTCTTTAACAGGAATATTACGTATTGCGTGTAAAGGAAATTAATATTTGTTTCTAAAGGTAAAGTTCTCAGCAGGGTATCAAATGGTTTAACAATATTTTTCATGGAAGTGGTTTAAAATTAAAGACGTAACATCATCTGTAACAAGTAAAACTTGTATTTGTGCCTCCTAAAACATCCATAATGAAGAGGATGAAAGTACACTGAATATGAGCATGCTTGATTGTTTTCTACCGGTCCATTTTTCATCACTTTATAAAGGTGCATTTTGTCACTGGTGAGGAAAATGTTTTGTCTTTGTTTTTTTTCCACAGTGGGAAAAATACTGTAACTACTTGATCGCTGATTTTGTGTGTCTGCCTATTTGCAAAGAAATGAAGAGCCTTAATTTTTTTTGCTTGTACTATGTTACTGTACTATGTTACTGTACATGTACTATGTTACTGTAATATGTTACTGTACATGTATGAAGCATAGGTAGACTGTGTTTCATTCATTCAACATTTATTTAAACAGATAAGTCACGTTGAGCCTCGAAGACTCATTTACAAGTGAGTGTACAGGTATATGCTGAAGCCTTTGGACTGACTAGATGCACTGATTAAGCTGATACACTCAGCAACCCCAGCACCATCCACTCATTCTATTAATTTTATTCAGTTTATTTCTATAGCTCCAAGTCACAACAGAAGTTGTCTCAGTAAACTGTACAAACACATTCACATATACAGTAGTCCCTCGTTTATCGCGGGGGATCTGTATCCTGAGGCCCTGCGATAAGCGAAAAACCTTGAAGTAAGAATAGTAGTATCCTGATGTATGCTCAATAATCCAGGTAGAAAAATCTAAAAAAGTTAAATCTGGTCCTCTGGACATTCAAAAAAAACCCAAAGCAAAACAACAAAAAATGTAGAAACGTTTCGTCTCTCATCCGAGAGACTTCCTCAGTCTGAGGTGCTGTATTCAGCTCAGTCTCAGAATGTCCAGAGGACCAGATTTAACTTTTTTAGATAAGAATAGTTGTTTTATGAAATTTCTTTAACAAAGGTTCGTGAACAGTCGGCCCCAATAATTCACACGAGAGGAAATAAAACAAGGAGACTGTTCTGCTAGAAATAATAGTGTCATTTATTAATCTGCCACAGAAAACAGCCAAGCAAACATGTACACTTGTACACTCTTTACACACAAATTGATATGAGAGCCTCTCACCGTGACCCGTGGTCGGGAAGCCTTCGACCCGAGTGACAGGAATCACACCAACAGCTGGGCACCTCGCGCGTTGGTCCGCAGCAGACTTCTAACTCTGTCACAGTGTTGTGCTTCTTAAATACCCCTCCCCGACCGGATCACGTGAGAGTAGACAAAAACAAGTTTGATGGTTACCAGAACAACGGGCGAGGAGCTGGTGACTCCTAAAAACATGTTGAAAACATGTCCTTCCAGTAACGGAGCGCCGTGACCGCAGGGCGGGCCAAGCTCTGCTGCCAAAAACACTCCTAAGCTTAATAAAGCATTCCTAAAGAGAATACACTGCACCCCTCCGTCCCTCTGCAAACCATCAAAGAGTGTCTAAATGATTATAAGTAACACACACAAAATATATGTTTGAATAGGCATAAAGGCAACTTAAAATCTTGTAAAATATATTTTTATATCAATAGTAGTACAAGTAGTAAGTAGTGTTTATTTTACTATATATATATTAAGTTGTTTTAACCCCTTCCCACACTCTTACAATATTCTAAACAATATTTCTAAACGCTCTAAAAAAAAAAAGAGTACCGAATGTCATGATTTAAACTCGGCCACGCCCATTTCTCCACAGCAGAACGGAGATCACAGTGGAGGAGAGAGGAGGAGCTGCAGGAGGAAGTTTCTCCTGCAGCTGTGGGCTGCACAAATGTAAATGGTAAATGGACTGTACTTATATAGTGCCTTTCTATCTTATGTCAAGATACTCAAAGCTCTTTACACTACAATCTGTGTCCTCATTTACCCATTCATACATCACTCTACTAGATCTCTACAAAGCTAATTGACCAAATCATTCTAAAGAGACTAATCAGAGCTTTATCACATTCATACACTGATGGGACACACATCGGAGGCGATGAAGGGTTTAGTGTCTTGCCCAGGGACACTTTGGCATGTGACTGCTGGTGGATTTGAACCCACAACTCTTGCATTGGAGGACGTCTGCTCTAACCACTCAGCCACAGCCGCCCCAAATGTGCATCACATGCTAAATAATTTAAAATAAGTAATTTAAAATAAATAATTTAAAATAAAAATTCCATCATGATCGTGCGGCTCATCCATCAGTCAGCCAGTTGTGTGTCATGTCCAGTCTTATTTTGAAAAACCGCGATAGAGCGAGTCTGCGAAAAACAAACTGCAAAGTAGTGAGAGACCACTGCATAAAAGCACCAATTAATAAAGTTCTCTATCTAAGGAAGCAGCAGATTGTGTTGAATCTTCACTTGATCACAGTCTCCCATCCTGAGCAAGCACAAAGGAAACAGCGGAAAGGAAAAACTTCCTTTTAACAGATATAAACCTCCAGTAGAACCAGGCTCAGGACAAGTGACCATCTGCTTTGACCGGCAGGTTTGAGAGGACAGAAAGAAACAAATTAACACAAAATTACAGGTCCAGGTGTACTTTCAATTGGAAGAAAGACAAAAAATTAGGGATGCTCCAATCAGGTTTATTTTATTTATTATTTTGCTGCCAGTCACCAATACTGATCACGTAGATTGGCTGTCAGTTTTTTGATTTAGTTAAGATGAGTGCTACTTGCTACATGATCTGGAAAATAGGAACCATAAAATCACCTTAATTTGGACAAAAAAAAGTTTTTATTTACTTTTTCAAGGCATAAACAATATCAAAAACTTGCAGGCACAATACAGAAACTATTCAGTCAAAAGGAGAAGTGAAAAACACTTCAATTTACCTTTTAACAGTAACAGAATCTTTAACAGATTGAAAACATTAAGACTCTCAACAGGCTAACTGGTGCAGAAAGTCAAATAAATCTCAAAACATTCCCTAAATCAAAGTCATAGTTTTTTGTCAGTCACACCACAAGTGGTACATGTGGTGGAACGAAATTGTGCACACAGGGTCCCAGTTACATCCAACAAAGGTATAAAATGTAAAAGAGAAACGGTAATAAGATCTAAGATATCTAAGAAAAATGTTAACTAAAAACACACTAAGCACTAATAGCATAAAAACAACACACTGAACAGCAGCATGAACATGAGTCTGTGTGAGCAGATGAGGATGAATGAACACAGCAACATGAAACGGATCAGCAGCAACATGATGTGATTTTTTTTCACAATGATTATCCTGGTTAGAGATTCATGAGTCTTAACAGCCTCAGGGTAGAAGCTGTTCCTCAGTCTAATGGTTCTACACTTAATGCTCCTCAACCTCTTTCTTGAGGGGAGTGGAGCAAAAAGTGTGTGTGCTGGGTGAGTGGGGTCCTTCATGGTGCCAGTGGCCCTCTTCCTGCATCTGGAGGTGTAAATGTCTGTGATGGTGGGGAGGCGGATTCCAACATCTTCTGTGTAGATGAACATATGCATGAGATATATTCATAAATTAAACGGATTCTTTCATTTTTCTGGACTGTATATAATGTGCATTGAATTTAATAAAATGTGGACGGAAACGTTAATTATCTTTGACTCACCAACGACAGTGGGTCATTTATTAACAGAATCAAAGTTTAACACATCACACATTTACATTAATTTGGCAAAATATGAAAAATAACAACATGGCTAATTTAGCAAGCTGTACAATTTTGATTAACCATACGGCGATGGTTGAAAACTTTACACAGACATTTCTAAAATATCTGGAATGATTTCTAGCAGATAGAAAAGTTTAAAGATGGAAAGATGAAGTTTAGAGGGAGGGAGATGGTATGTGAGGTAAAGTGTTGAACAGAACGGCACCCTCCATTCGAACCCAGCTTTCCTCGGTACGCTCGATAGTAAACTCGACTCGTTACCTCTCTGACGATGAATCAGTGGAAACGGAGCTCCAGTTAAGCTACCGGTCCAGCGTCTCCGTAGGATGGCAGAGAACCGTCCGGAGTGGTGGCGGGACTTCACTCATGTGAAGGCCACTCGTGAGGTGAACTGTTGTTGATGGAGTCCTTCAGAAGTTCCACTCAGAGGTGGAAGATGTCATAATCCCAAAATACTCGGAAGAGCTCTGAATCATGGCTGGACTTCTGTTCTCCCAAACGACTGGAGCTGCAAACTCTCCACCCGACTCCAACTGGACTCGACTCCAAACTCGACTCCAAACTCGACTGGGTTGAACTAGGAAGTACCAACCTTTAAAGAGCTCTATTTCCGGTTCACTTGGGAGTTTCCTGATTGGTCGTTTCAACCAGACAGGGGTGTGTTTTTGTGACGTAAGAGGTCACTAAGAGTTAGAAAAACAGCAAGAATGTTATGGAACAGATTGAAAATGTTTTTCAGACAGACGAGAGGAATATTTAGACGAGTTGGCGGAAAACAGGTGCCAGCTTCTCTATTTACGTCTGAGAGGATTTAAAAACATGACAGCTCGTTCCAACACTTGTTTGCGTTTGACTCCAACCTTGGACCAACTTACACTGCTCATTCAAAGACAGAAAATCAGAAAATGTATAATTACTCTGTAACAGACCTTAACATGAATTCTAACTTTGCATGAGGATTAAAAATCATTATTACTGTTTCACAGTTAATTAAAAATGATTAGTTCACTGCAGCATCTAAAATGGTTTGAACTAAAAACACTTTGATTATCAAACATTTGTAAAATAGTAATGATAATAGAAAAGAGAGTGTTCTTTCACTTGATTCAAGAAAGAAAGTCTCAGGATGGGTCAACCTGTATTTCTGGATTCAAAT